CTGAGCCATGCTTTCATATGACATGCCTTCATTGGTCTGATGCTGTTAGGCTGCATTCGGTTGTTCAATCTTTTCCTGAAAGACAATTGGAAACTTCATAAACTTCTGGAAAGCAATAAGATAAAGCAATAACTATTTATTTATTTTGAGATATTAATAAAATAGGTAAAATAGCTCAAGGTAAGTTACCAGTTTCAGAACAGATAAGACAAATTATTACATTAAAGAACAAAGTATAACTTAAAACGTCGATTTATACAACGTGGTATGTTAATAATTCTACATTAACATAAGTATAACGTTAAACGATAGTAAAGCACCAACAATTCTGGACATGAGAGTTTGTGGACACTCCTCAACATTAATGTAACTTAGACACTGAAACGAAGATATGTACAAGCATACACACGCCACGTTTGTAACTAGCCACGTTTACATAATCAGTCGCTTTGCCGGTGACAAAATTGTGATTTTTCTTCACAAAATGGCGGTGTAACTTATATAACCGTCTAAAATTACATTTCCTCGGTCAACCGTGGCTAGAAAATGGCCTCAAAATATAAAACATTATCGATAATTACAAATTCCAGTATTAATAACAAAAGGTTTTATATCAAGGTATATGAAGACTTTAGACGCGCCAGCTCCGGGCCACACCGCACATTACTTACGGCCCGATTCCGGTGCACGGTTACGGCAGCGTCGGCTCGCTTCTGCCGCCGCATCTGGCCCGAGTAACGATACAGCAGACGGACTCGGGCAGGCGAGAATCTAGCCGCAACTGGCCCGAGTGTATTTTGCTATCTGGGTTGCGATTATATTCCGCCGTGGCAACACTTATTAATAAAGCAGTTACGTAAGATATAAGGCGCGAATACGTAACGTAGGCGATAAAGGGAGCTTTTACACCGAGAAAACTAACAGCATATAATACTCACCTTCTATAACGTTATGTCCCTCGGTGACTTCGATATCATATTGTATTAACTTCTTTAATAAGCTGCAGACATCTTAGCAAACTCCATCCTGCAGGCCAACGTACACCAGCCAGCCCGGAGCACTTAAAGCAGAGGAAAGCCGAGACCCGAGAGTCAGACAAAATCAACAGAACACGGCTTCACATGTAAAAATGAGACTGAAAATATATCTTTAATACATTCTTACCTGAAAAATGTGGACTCCAAAATAGACTTTTCTTTGAAAAGCGTGCGAAGTTCTGTGTAAATAGCCAGCATACTCTACCGACCGCCTCAGTAACAAACACTACTATAACGTCTCAACAAGCCAAATTCTTAAAGAGACAGCAACATCACCACCTGTATGAGGATGCTGTCACTCTGCATGGTTCTTATTCTACATCCCATATACTATAGGGTCTTAAACAGTAAGCAAAGACCAGTATTTACGTTTTTAATGATTAAAATTACATTAAATTATAAATTAAATTATTAACGATTTTGAGATTTTTTTAAATTTAAATACATGTAAAAATTTTAATTATTAAAATATTTAATTCAATCAATTTATTTATTTATTATATTTATAAATTATGTATTTTAGTATTAATGTTTAGTATTAATGCATTTAAATTAGTGTTATATAGTGTCTTGATCTTATCATGAGCTGAGGGTGCAATTTTGTTCCTATAGGGAAACAAAATATATAATTGTACCTTTAAAGGTTCCAAATTGGTCCTTTACGGTACAATTTTGTATCCAAATGTGCTATAAAAGGTACAAAAATGTACCTTTCAAACCTAAATCTGGACATTTGTACCTTTATAGCCCATTTGAGTACAAAATTGTACCCTAAGGACCAATATGGGACCTTTAAAGGTACAATTATATATTTTGTTCCCTCTAGGAACAAAATTGTACCTTCACTGTACCTTTTTTTCTGAGAGTGTATATACATTTCTGGAGAGAGCAGAATACGTCCCAGGAGCTACTACTAAACAACTGCAGTGATTTAAAAAGAAATCCAGAAAAAGACAGATTTTATACCAGGTTTTCAGATTTTACCACATTTTACCCTGTTATTTACTTGTTTATTTTATTTTTTAGCTTTTGTTTTTGTCTTTCTGGAACTGTTCTTTACTGGACTCAAACTTTGTTGTCACGGTCAACTCCTCTCTGCGTCTCAAGTTCACTGACGTACATGGCGAGCTAGACAAACTGGTAACAGCAGAAAAGCAGTCTATGCGGCAGTAATCGCCTGGGGCCTTATGTATTAATGCAAAACTTTGCGTACGTGTATTTCTTGTGTGGGTTTGTTTTATTTTTAATAGCAACTTCTAGAGGTAATTGTGTTAAATTGCACACTACAAAGTATCTTTGAACCGTGCAATGGCAGCTGTATGGGACGAGATCATCCGCATGTCTAGCAGGTATATAAGGTTTCCATATCATGCAGTTTACCAGCCAAACATTAAAGCACAATTTGCAACGTTCGCCGGTTTTCCCATTGTAATCAGAGCGATCAACTGCACACACATTGCTATAAAGGCACCATCTGAAAACAAATTTGCATATTTGAATCAGAAACATTTCCATTCAATAAATGTGCAAATAATATGTGATTCTCAAATATGCTTAACATAATACACACACTTATTAATAATTCCTACTTGTCTTCCTCACGATGAAGAGGAGGTAAAATCTGATGTGTAAGTGAGGAAAAAAAGGAGCAGCTCATTAGACGCTGGATTCGAACCGGGTTCATGATCGATCGTGTCAAAACATATTAACAAGCACTTTACGAGCTACGCCACTTACGCTGCTGTTTGCTGCTCTCTTTAGTTATGTTGTCTCTGGTAATCAATTGATGATGGGCGGGAATCCCCCAACTAGTTCATTCCACTTAGCCTAAATAGACACTACAAAAATTGACACCATTACATCGGACCATTTCTTTTTTTAATTCACTCATTTGATGTTCATGCAATGTTCAGACCCCACTGCGTTAACAGCATCAGCTAAACTCTCAAACTCAATTTTTTTTTCTTTTGTTAATAATTGCGGAGGGCAAACTTGCACTGTTTTTCTCCGGTCTACCTCCGATAGAAGCACCTCCATTCACATTCTGTGAAGTTTCTCTTTTGGCTTGCTTTTGCCTTTGCTTTTTCTTTTAGTTTTGCCAAAGTAGAGTCATTACCATATTTATAAGGGGGAGGAGCCAGGTAGGGGTTTTGCTCTCATGCATGTGCACTCAGTTTCACGTTAATTTGTATGTACAAAGAGAATATTCGATTCAATTCAGCTTTATTTGTATAGCGCTTTTACAATGTGGATTGTGTCAAAGCAGCTTCACATAAATGGTCAAAGTAACTGGAACAGTGTAGTTCAGTTTTTAGTGTTTAAATTCAGTTCAGTTTAGCTCAGTTCAGTGTGATTTAAAATCATTACTGAGAGAGAATATGCGGGGGATTCCACATACACAGAGTTTCATACATCTGAATTTTTGACTGCGTTTGCACATTTACAGCTTTGTGCATAGGCAATGTTTTAGTATTAATTCGATGTCTTCATTCATGAGGCCCTTGGTAAGCGAGAAAAGGAACGGCATCACACCGCCCCATATAGCGTTCATTTTAGGGATGAAATGCAGCCATTTAAACTTTAAAATGTATATAGGACTATGTTTTCAGAATGAGCCTATGTTGATTTTTCTTTACTCTATATACTGTATATTTGTGTGTGTGAGTTTGAGTGTGTACAGTATGTGTGTGTGTATATATACATAAACCACAAACACCTATACATCACCACAGCTTCTTACAGCTGCTGCACAATCTATAGTGATGATCAGATAATCATACTCTATAATCTGATACAGAATTCACAGTCTGCTGCTGCTGCAAAGAAAAAAAAAAACCTCCCCTCAGTACTTCTCTGAGCATCATAGCCCTATTCAGGCAATGCACCTGTTGTGCGACATGCCTGTCCAAGTTTAACGCCACTAATTTATAGGCTGCAGCTGCAAATACTGTATGACTCCCCATCTTTTAAAAGAGCCGTCTTTGCAGTTCTACTTCCAGTAGCTGCACACAGCTGAGCAGCTCACCTAGAATCGGAACTAGGACAAATCACTTTCTGTTGAGCTGTTAAAACGAAGTTGTTCACACACCATGATTACATTTACACCTCACAGGTCTAGTTTACAGATTTCCACCTTAATTATGTTGGTTTTGAAAATGGTGCTGTCTGTCAAAACATGTGACTAAGCCGTAATCTACACTGCGTAACAGACACTTAAACATGTTCTCTCTGAAGTTCAACAATGGCAGCGTGTGTTAACCTGTTTTGAAATTCCAAGGTGAGGATGACATTCTGACTCACTGAACATTTAATTGGCGTTTAACTCGCTCTTAAAAGCTCTAATGGTAAATTACATGCTGTTTCCCAAGAGTATATTCTCCTTTTTCTTGCCATTAGTAAGCTGGAGTTTAGTGAGTCAGTGCGTCTCCTTGGCCTCGTTCACATGCTTTTCTTGACATCTAAAATGAGTTAAATATATGATAATGTGGTGCTAATGCATTTCGAGAGCATCAGCGAGTCCCGACAAACCTGTTCAAGATTTAGCGCAGTCGAATCAAGGAAATGCTTGAGGTCACTGAGTTCTTACAGGAAAACAGATCAAAGATTAAATAAAAGCTCACTTTAGCTTTTCCTCGGTAAATCTTGAGTGAATTGCTGCATAATTTAGCCGATAACTGTTGAAGATAGGTTAAAAGGCTAGCAGGAAGACACAAAAAGCATGTAAGTGTGTGGAAATAAAAATAGCTGAACCAGCTGTTGGGTAATTTTAGAAGCAAATTCTCTCTAATTTGCATCGTAAAAGGTATACGCTTCTTTCACCTAAGCGAGAGATGCTATTAGAGGTCCCTCCCCCCTAATGCATAGTAGAAACCTAATTAGTGGACATGCTCAGTTTTTATTATGGCTTAGTCATGCCCATTCATCCCTATAAACTGATGACTTGCCTACTTCATTTCCTCACAGACCTTCAGAACAGCTGCCGGCCTGCCTGTCGTTCTCTTGCTGGAAGCCTGAAACCAGAGCTAGGGGTGAATGCCAAACTTTTCAGGAAAAGACCTCCACATTCTGGCCCCCCGTGAGCTGACAGCTCTTTGCCATCAAAGTCAACAATACTGCTTTGCTGCAAGGAGATGAAGATCGGCTGTTGACTGCGGACAGCTGGGTTTCACACAATGGCATAAAGATGCGGAAAAGGGTAAGGAATGCTGTGGTATTTGGAGTCGGACAGAAACCGGTATATAGGCAGCATATTTGTATATGTATTATAAACTTCAGCTTATACTGGCGTTTTTGCATTATTTGTAATTGTTTATTAGTAATTTTAGCCCATAATAACCTATTTCTCCTTATTGGAAAGTTATGAGGCATATAATACAGACCGAATGGACCACATATAACACGTTTCGGCAGTTGTTTTTGAAATGCAGCCCCTCTTTGTGAAAGATCTGTAATGTTATTAGGGATGTAACAATTCAACTGACTTTCGATTCGATAGGATTCACGATACTAATCTCACGATTTATTCACAATCATTTTTAACACAATTATTTTTAAATAAAATGTTTTAAAACTCATTTAAGATGAAAAGCCCTCGATTTTTTTTCTTAACTGCTGCACATTTTTTGTTAAATAATATTTTCTGCCACAACCAAATTGCTGTTTTATAAACAAATGAATTCCAGAATAGAATAATACAGACTGAAGTAGACTTATTGATATAAACAAACTAAAACTGTGACTGTGCTGGGATTTTACATTTTATAAAAAGAAATATCTGCATATCTATGTTTTCTGGCATAAACTGAGCCCAGCTAGCAAAATTCATGTGGCTCAAATCCGACAATTACATCCGGCTCACATACCGTATAGAATGATGGCACTTGGGCGGTCCGCTTCTGTTTGCCAGATCTGGGCCACAATTAAGCCATAGCAATATCACATATTAGCCAGAATTCAACCAAATGAACCAGAACTGACCCTATTCTGGGCCAGAGTTTGTTTTTATTTTGGCCCAGATCCGGCCCACACCAGATACTTACATTCGGACACCACACAGAATGGAACGCTTCTGTTTGCCAGATCTGGGCTACAAATGAGCTACTACTACCCATATCTGGGCAGCACTGTAGTGCAGTTGGTAGCACAATCGCCTCGGCCGGATCACTTGGGATTTATGTGTGGAGTTTGCATGTTCTCCCTGTGTTTGCGTGGGTTTCTTTTGGGTGCTCCGGTTTCCCCTCACAGTCCAAAGACATGCGTGAATGCAAAGGTGTATGGGTTGTATGTTGTATGTGTCCCAGTGTCGGGTTGTGGCTTCAAGGGCATCCGCTGCATTAAACATGTGCTGGATAAGTTTGCGGTTCATTCCGCTGTGGCGTTCCATAATAAATAAAGGATCTAAGCCGAAAAGAAAATGAATCAATGAACATATGTCACATTGGGCATTTATTTCACAAAAAAAAAAAAAATATATATATGTATATATATATATAAAAAAATAAATATATATATATTATTTGCTATGTAATTTATTTCTGTTTATTTGCTTTTCCATAACATATTTCAGAGCTACGTAACTGTGACCATTTTACAACTCTTCATCAAAATTCTACCTTTTTTGGTACATGGTTGTTAATTTTTTTTTTTTCCACAACTTGAGAAATGGGTGAATTAAATAAAAATAAATAACTACCTCACACTGGAGGTCAACATGTTAAACTTTTTAAGAGGTCAATCATTTGTATATTCATTCAATCATTCATTTTCTTTTCGCCTTAGTCGCTTTATTATTCTGTGGTCGCCACAGCAGAATGAACCGCCAACTTATCCAGCACATGTTTTACACAGTGAATGCCCTTCTAGCTGCAACCCATTACTGGGAAACATCCATACACACTTACTCACACACATAGACTACAGACAATTAAGCCTACCCAATTCACCTGTACCGCATGTCTTTGGACATGTGGGGGACATGTGGGGTAAGTGAGGATACCCACACGAACACGAGGAGAGCAAGCAAACTCCACACAGAAGCGCCAACTGACCCAGCTGAGGTTCGAACCAGCGACCTTCTTGCTGTGAGGCAAATGTGCTAACCACTGCACCACCGTGCAGCCCCTTTATTTGTATATTGTAAAATAAAACTGTAAACAAGCAAACATTACAATGCTCAATCAAAGTAGCATGCACATAACGCAATAACGTCACAGAAATGTGTATTTTGTGCAATAAAACTGTAAACAAACAATACGACCAAAATTTGTGTTATTTTGCAATAACATCGCAAAAATGTGTACAATAAAATTGTGAACAAGAAATCCTGGTGCTTTTGTACGCTGTATTATCAACATGCATTTTGTTTCTATACATTTTTTTTTCAATTATTTTTCAAGTCATTTTATTCAGCAGCCATCTTTGCTTGGGCATTCTGTGTAAATGGGGAAACATCAAATTCTCCAAAATTGCTTGCCAAGCTTACGATTGCAAATTAGGAATCACCTATAAAATTTAACAACAACTGTCTTTTTAGTTGCATTTCTAAATGTTCCACTTACACAAACTCTGCAGAAACTCACGTCTGGTTTAAGCCCCTCCCCAGGAGAATCCTCAGTCTCTTGTACTAGAAGCGGGGCTTCATTCAGCTTTGACTGTTACAATTTTCCCCATTCCAAACTATACGAGTGACTTGTCTTGTGTAATCTATAAAGTCTTTGATTATTAGTATCTGAAAGTTTAACATTGGACTTAGAAAATGCTAATAAAAACTCAATTAATTGTAAAGAAAACATTGTAAAGCATACATATTTAGATGAGATGTGTTTTGTGTAAACAAGTCTTCAATCCTTAAAATAATAATTCAACTTTAATATTATTTTGTTTCCCTTGTATTTTAGAACAATAAAATGGGCAAAATATAAATGAATAAATACAATAATAAAATAAATAAAGAAATAAATAAACAATAAATAAAACAAAAAAAATGGATTTTATACAAATTATTTAGAATAAATTGATGACTTATTAAAATACTGCATTTAAAGATAACTATGCAGCAGTAAAATAGTCAATTAAATTGTACATTTATATCTTAATACTTTTTTACTGTTCTTCACTTTTACCCATTTTCCACAAGATTTTGTGAAATAATTTTAATATTTTGCATTAACATTATATATCTTACTAAAACAATGTAATTGTTTTATTTACATACAATACAAAAAGATGTTTTACATTTTTCTAAATAATACATTAAAGGTGACCATGAATAATATTTTGAATAATAAAACTAGATAAAACTTTCTATTTGCACATTTTAAAATAGATAAATATAATAAATATAATCAATAAAAAAATCACTACTGTTGTGAGCATGAGACACTTTGTTAAAAAAAAAAGACATCATGTTTTTTGTCAGTTATTAATCACCCTTAACCTTCCAAGTAAGTGCCAATGATCTTTGCGGATGCCACTTTTTGGGAGGTCGGATCATCATTTCTGTAACTCTGCAAGGTCCATTTAACTAAAGGGTGAATGAGCAGAAAGACGATGAATGAGACCTTCCTCATCATTGACGGTGCTCCATTACGCTTCCCTGTCTGTGATTGGCCGGGACTGACTGGCGCGCATTCCTGACGTATCACTTTTCAGCAAGGGTCATTTGATGAAAGATGAGTGGATGAACAGCTTGCTGCGAATGGCTGACTCTTGTGTTTCACAGAGCGGCCGCCTCACATGCACGCATGCATACACACATACGTCACCCATAGGTCTGTGCTTGTCTTTCACAAAACCCCTAGCTGCATAGGATGAGGAATGTTAAAACAAATCTTGACCCTCTCCAAAGCCTGTTACTTAAATAGTAGGGTTTATACAGCTCTGTTGCTGACCTAACAGAACTGGTCTTGGCCTGCAAAACCACAGAGAACAGTTGGAGTAATTTATAATAATTTTGACCTTAAAATGGGTTTAAAAAAATTTAAAATTGCGTTTATTTTAGCCGAAATAAAACAAATAAGACTTTCTCCATGAGAGAAAATATTATCAAACATACTGTAAACATTTCTTTGCTCTGTTAGACATCATTTGGGAAATATTTAAAAGAGAAAAAAAAAAAAAAACAATTGAAAGGGGGGCTAATAATTCTGACTTCAACTGTACATGGAAACAGTTTTCAAGTATGTAAATGGATCCCAGAAGCTTGAGTTCAGGTTTGTTGGATGATACAAGGATTTGCTTTGGTGAATATAAAAAAATGAATGAATGAATGAATTAATATATATATATATATATATATATAAATATATATATATATATATATATATATATATATATATATATATATATATATATATATATATATATATATATATATATATAGGAAGACACACCTGCCCTGATAGAACTTGCCATTCAAAAAACATCTAGTTTGAAATGCCTGTGGGAGAATTTGGTGTCCAGGTTAATTTAACTTGGAATTTGTGAACAAGATCCACTTCCATCTTCCAGGAAAACTAGCGTTTCATTCCAATGTGAAACTTTATGAATCATGTCCTGATCATGTATGTTGGAGCTGTGGAATGTGCTCTTGGCAGCAACAGTAAATGATTTAATAGTCAGTGAAGAAAGAGCGGTTGAGTTTGTGTGCATGTGTGTGTGCAATTAAATTGTAATGTATAATGCAAGTGCAATTAAAGCTGACAGTGTTAATTCAACCTGTATCTATATAGATATAGCACATCCTGATTGTACTATTAGAGTCATTCAGGCAAACCTACAGGTAAATGTGTTGAATCAGGGTGTTCTTTATGCACACATACACAAAGTCTCTAATTTTACAATACTGTTTATAATGCACAAACGTTTTGAAAAATATTGCATTCTATGTATGTTGTAGTTTTAGAATTATAAATGTTTATTTTTGGGTGGGTGAATTGTATTGGATAATAAAAAAACTGGCCAGCAAGCATTTTTGTTTTTAAAAGATGTCTAATAGATGTCTAATAGACGTCTAAACATAGTCGACTTTGCTAAAATAAGGATAAATTTGGTGAAAATCTAATAGATGCCTAAGAACAGGCCAAAACTAGACTAGTCATCAAATAAGCAGAAACAAATGACTATACATATAAAGTCTGTGTAATCTGCCTAATCTAGTTTTTGGGCTATTCTTAGATGTCTTTTAGATTCTCAATG